ATTGCTATAAAGAAAGATATGATCAGTGCTGTGTCAAAGATAGTCGCCATATCCGTTCTCATTGGGGTTCAAAATGCATGTAAGTCAAGGAAAAGACCTAACTGAATGAAATTCAGTGCTATAGTTGTCTGTATTGAACGCAAAATTCTTGCTATTTCGCATAGCAAATTTCCTTTATGTCTATCAGCAGCGGACGTTGATCTTTTGTTCGCATGAATTCCTATGACATGTTGCAAATCGATATGCTTTGCTCCTAAAGTTAGCAAGACCTACAAGCATTGTTGATGCAAGAAAACTCTCCGTATAATATATTATCCCGTCCAGTGTTCAAAAATGTTGTCTTCTGCCGTTATTTCTGTTTAAATAGGACCATTACTGGATTGATAGAGGTTTCACACGATTTTGGTTATATGAAAATGTCTCCTGGAAGCCGAATGAATATTCTTAGCAACTCAGAAGAAGAGGAGGCGATCACTGGAACAAGATTTTTATTTGCCTGACGTTTCGAATTCCGTCGGGAATCCTTAATCACAGGTCATGGTAACACAGTCATGGTCATGCGCATCCTCTTCTTCTGAACTGCTTCCTGGAACTCGTATATTCTCTACTACTGGCAATCTCTTTGGGCGCGATGCGCTCCAATCGGCTCGACGGTGGGAAACATTTGCCCTTCAGGAGTTGTTCTTTACAAGGCCGCAGTCCTTGACGGATGGACACTTTATATTTCCCCAATTTTTTCTTAACTCTGTGACGGTTAAAGTAGTTTCGAGTTGCACTCATTATTAGAAACAATTTTAACCAACTCGGAATGAAGTTGCCGCCAAATAACATGGCAAGGCCGAGAAGAGCAGCCGAGTCGATATGGGTAGGGGGCTTTTGCAGACTTTTACTGTGTTCATTCACATAAGGTGACATAACAATCGCCGAATACATATCTAGGTACCGGTAATTCGTCATGTCAATCCTCCTGGGCTTTGCACATGGAAGACGAGGAAATCCGGCGGTCTTTTACCATTTTCAACTAACCTTGTCACCAAAAAACAAGCCACAGTGCTTTTGATAGCACAATAATGTTTCAGGTCGTCTTAGAAAAGTACTTGATGTGGTTTCACAAGTTATCTAGCTCGTATTCAACGAATACTCTCATGCTGCCCTGGATTCTAACTCTAATGGGAGAGATAAAATGGGATCAATTCAGACGTGTCTCGTCAGAATCAATCAGAACGTGATTATACGCTATTTTAGCTAAGATGTTGATGTCTACTTTGTGATCGATTTCCAAGGCAACCTAAAAGTGCTGGGAATCAACTGGTAGGCTGAAAAGTGTCATGAAATGGCGAAACGCATGTGTACACTTTCGGTTAGTACCCTCATCGGGATGAATGAATCAGATTGTATGCACTACCTAAAGCGAGTGTTTGCCTTCCCGATAAATGTATAACTAGTGCAGAAAAAGTTCATTCAGCCGAGATTTTGAACCCGTACATAACTAAAGGCGACAACAAATCTAACACAATCTATGGAGGATATAAGCCAATCAGATATCAGCAACGTCAGTTCGGAGGGCACTGTGTTGGGGGCTCTGTGCAGTATAGGCCCTATCTGACGCAAAATGCCCAAATCTACGAAATGATGATAACCAGTCGCATTAATCAAATTTAAAAATCACAGGAAATATAATAAGTGATAGGACTTTGCTTAGAAATACCAAATTTATTAAATAAATTATTAAATTCTGAAAATCGGATAAGTCGCTGTAACTGTGACCAATAGATGTAAGTAACATTGCAAGGTTTAATCGTAGCTGACCCATTTTGTGTATGTTAAAGGAACTTTCAGTTCGTTGAATTTGTGCTTTCAAAGTAGAAACCTTGACTATATTTCGATTTTCTTGAGAACCAGCCATAAAATTTCGGCCAAAACCGAAAGAGCCCATTTTCGATTTTTTTTTGGAGAGTTTATCATTGTACTTGATGAGTTTTAGGTTCCGTATGCCGGCACCAGTTCTGTGTTCGACACTTTTAACGAACGGGTTAATTGGGATGATATATTGTGCGCACTTATTTGCCGCTGACAACTCCCTTTCCCGACCCTTCTAACTTAGATAACGATCGGCGCTTAGGAATGCCCGCGGGGTCTCCAGGCGACGATTCGGAGGTAAGTTTGACAGATGCACACCTGTCAGCTTTCTAGTTTTACCAAAAATGTGTAAATTACTTATAAGTAATATAAGTAACATTACTCCACATGGAAAAAACTCAGGGCTGGACTCTTTGCTGCGAAGCAAATTTACAAGAATATAAGACATCAATAGCTTGGCTTGTTTAAGCTGTCTTGCGTTTACAGGACTTCGATAAGGCACTTTAGTCCTGGATATGATTTATGTTGCAAACTCAAGCGTCGCTGTTTTGCACGTTTTTTTAGATTTTATTTCGGCACCCTGTATAAATGCGCTACTTCCCGTTTTAAATTAGGCTGCCTTTAATTATGAAGTTCCTATAAACTGGCTTCAAAGGATACAATTAATTATAAAAAGGCGGACACTGAAAACTGAATTTCATTTTGCCCTTTTGAACCTGTTTTCCGTCTGCATCATGTTTTCGGTAATTCTTTTCATTTTTTTATTTTAGCTTATGAAGGTAAGCTACGGTTTCATGCCTCGAACGAACTCTGTGCGACTCCACAGTTAAATAGTTTAAAATTACCGCCTACTGAAAACTCTACAGTAGACGTGTGTAATATGTAAAAGTTCTAACGTCAGCCTACACCTTTTAGGCAGCGCCGGACCCCAAGTTATCTGCCAGCATACGTCAAATACCCTCACCAGCGTCAGAAGATGCAAGAAACGGTCCAGGCGGCAGTAGCAGAGCAGCTGAACGCGGCTTTCGTGGTCGGGGCCACGGAAAAGGCACAACCAGCAAGAGCAAACTTTCCAACAACTCTGCTAACCTAATGGATGAGAGCACAGAAGGCGATGACGATGATGAAGACGATGAGGAAGAGGAGGATGAAGAAGATGACGATGATGAGACCAACACTGAGGTCATTGAAGGGTAATTCTGAAGTCTTTCTAGACCTCACAAGTTCACGGCTTTACTCGACAGTTGACACGTTTACAGTGCCTTTGTTTGTTCGGTTTTACTGCTGGCTGTAAAACGCCCAGAGCCTTGATTGATGATATATTCGTGATGTAAAGATTGTTCGTGAATGGATCCGGAGGTTCGCGTTACAGGTGTTTGCATGAATAAAGGCGAAGACTCTTCGAGCGCCGGAGGAATTTGTTTCTTATTCTGAGTTTTCAAACTGGTGCAGAGGTCCATCGGCAATGACGAAAATCTGGAGGTGGCTGCGCAGGGCTCTGTACACCGGCACTAAATCGATGCATCGATCGATTGAGTTACCATCAGTTAACCATGTTTCACTCAATTCCCGGCGTATCTTGTTTTCGGCGTGGACCATTATCTCGACGGCCAAGATGTTGAATTCCCGGTCCGTTTCGTAGGTGTGGGCAGCATCTGGCGCTATTTACTCGCCCCATCGGACAGCCAGCTTCTGCTTATGTATACGC